GAACTAACAACACGAATGTAAGAAAATAAGCTAACTAAGTTGCCTAAATATGCTCCTATCGGAATGCCATTGAAAGCTCCCAGAAAATAAGTTATAGGCGGATTTTCTGCTAGAGAACTTGACAAAGTAATTATCGATTTGCTAACAGCGCAAAAAAAAAAAAAAAAAAAAAAAGGACGGTTAAACTCTATTTACTACCCTCATGTTTTGTGGTTTTCAACATTTAGTACATAAATTTTTTTTTCATCCCAAAGTTATACCTAAAGTGTTAATTTTAGGACACTGTTATACATCCGTTAATCAAACTGTTAATTCTCCGGTTAAGTGATGATGTGACGCCCATGTGGGCAATAACTGGGCACCATATGTCATTAAAAATATTAAAAAAAAAAAAAAAACCCCATCCCTTCTCCCCCATGCTCCCAACCCAGAAGAAGAAGAAGAAGAGAAAAAAAAAAACCCAGTCTCGCCCCCAACCCAGAAGAAGAAGAAGAAGGAAAAAAAAAAAAAAGCCCAGTTCGTCATTTCCAGATTAATGGAGATCTACCACAAAACCAGTCCAAAAATCATCTCAAACTCAAACTCTCCATCTCAAAGTATTTTCGAAATTCATCCACATTGAAAATCCCAAAAATATAGAGTTCATGGTCTGGGTTCGTGTTCGCGGTCGCAGGGCGGGTGGGGGAAGGCAGGTGGGTCACCCGGGGAGGGGGGTGGGGGTGAACTGGGTTTGGGCTGCTTTTTTTTTCTTTTTCTTCTTCTTCTCTTTTTCTCCTTCTTCTTTCTTCTCTTCTTCTTCTTCTTCTTCTTCTTCTTCTTCTTCTTCTTCTTCTTCTTCTTCTTCTTCTTCTTCTTCTTCTTCTTCTTCTTGGTTGTAGATTCGGTTATTCGGTTTTTTTTCTTTCTTTTTTTCCTCTTCTTCCTCTTCTTCCTTCTTCTTCTTCTTCCTCCTTCTTCTGGGTTGCAGATTCGGTTTTTTTTTTTCTTCTTCTTCTTCTTGGTTACAGATTCGGTTTTATTTTTTCCTTTTTCTTCTTCTGGGTTGGGGCGTTCTTCTTCTCTTCTTCTTCTTCTTCTTCTTCTTCTTCTTCTTCTTCTTCTTCTTCTTGGTTGTAGATTCGGTTATTCGGTTTTTTTTTCTTTCTTTTTGTCCTCTTCTTCCTCTTCTTCCTTCTTCTTCTTCTTCCTCCTTCTTCTGGGTTGCAGATTCGGTTTTTTCTTCTTCTTCTTCTTCTTCTTCTTCTTGGTTACAGATTCGGTTTTATTTTTTCCTTTTTCTTCTTCTGGGTTGGGGGCGGGGGGATAAGGGATGGTTTTTTTTTTTTTTTTAACTTTTATTTAATTAATTGTTTTAATATTTTTAATGACACGTGGTGCCCAGTCATTGTCCACATGGGCACCACGTCATCACTTAACGAGAGTATTTACAGTTTGACTAACGGATGTGTGAGACTATCCCAAAATTTACACTTAAGGTATGACTCTGGGACGAAAAAAACTTGATGTATTAAATGTTGAAAACCATGAAACATGAGGGTAATAAACAATTTGCCCCAAAAAAAAAATTCATCAAAACCCACCTTTTCACGTTTTGTGAGAGAATCTAGAATCTCAAAAATTAAAGCCTACAATCCAAAATTTAAAACATAGAACTCAAACATTAAAACCCAAAAATTGAAACACAGAATCCAAAAATTAAAATAGAGAATTAAAATTGAAATCAAGAATCTAAAAATCTAAAATGACAAATCCCATAAACAAATACAAAAAAAACACAATTCAAAAAATCTAGAACACATTCTAAGCTCTCTCTCTCTTACCTATTCCTCTTTTCTTTGACTTGCCATCTCTACAAATCCAAAAAATTCAATTTAAAAAACAAGTAATTCGAAGCAAAAATGGAGACGAAGATCGAGTTAAAAAAAGAAAGAGATGAGAGAGAGAGAGATAGAGAGAGAGACGAACCAGAAAGAGTGATGCTTGGCTAGTTTAGGGGTTCTCTTTGTTGTTCATCGAGTAGAGGTCGTGAGAGAGGTTTTCGGAGAAGGAAGGAAAAAATGTTGATTGTGTCTTCGGAATAACCCATTTATATGAGAGGGCAATTTGGTCATTTCAAGTTCTAGAAAAATTCTTTCTATCGTATTGTTCTGCATGTCGTATGTGTGTTCTATGCATATTCAACAAAAATTCTATTTCGTTCGCAAGATTAACAAATGGGTCATTTCTATCAAAGAAGAAGAAATTAGGTTCACATCTCTCTTTCTTTCATTGTATTGATCAAAACTTTATTTTTTGTTAAATTTTTATCAAAGTTCCTAACTTTTAATGAACGTCATTATTTCAATTATATTTACATACCAACATAATGAAATTTTATTTCTAAAATATATTCATTTAGTGTTAGAAACGCTACATTTGGTATATTTATATTTATGATTAAACTTTGTGTTATATATTACTATTTTTAGTTTGTGCCATTTTTAATTTGCAACCTTTTTAATTTGTACCCATATATTAATTTCATTTTGTGCCCATATTTTTATATGTTTTATTTATACTCATAATTTATCTATAATGTACCCATTTTTCTTTATAAATGTACCACTTTGTTATCTGTGACGACCCGTCCCTAATTTTTTATGTAATTTCTTCCCGAGTATGTGAATTGACATTTATGCCCTTATTGGCAAGTGGCGTGGAAGTGTTTATTTGTTCTTAAATTATTTTTCTCGCTATCGTAATTAAATAGTACTCGTTGATACAATCACGTGAGTGCGAGTTAGACCCGAATTGGATTCGTAATGAAAAAGTTACGTTACGTTAAAGTACATAATTGACTGGTAAAATTGTACACGAGCGCGTATTAATTTACCAGTGTTAGAAACACTGTTTAGGATAGATTGTGTCTGATTTCTCTATACAAATCCTATCCTTCCTTTTCTTTAAAACTGGACTCGTGCCTTACACCTTACCACCAATTATTTTGTTTCCTTCATTATAGCAACCAATCAACTTTTCTCTCTCTCTTCCTAATCACAAATCATTTCTTTCATTCTTTCTCATCTTCTCTCTTTTTTTCCTCACATGAGCTCCCTTACCCCTGCAACCACCATGTACTCACACCAAATCTTGTAGATTGACTCTAAAAACCACACCATCACACTCCTCTCATCACCACAAACTCAACTATACGCTCAGATCACGCATTGGTTGAGTTTTGAGTGGTCAACACGGAGCAACTCGGAAGCTCCGACTCGGTCGAGTTGGTATCGTCGTGATCCTAGTCGAGTTAAGAGAATTTAGGATGTGGGGAAGCTTCCTTACAACTCCTCGAGGCTTCTAGGACAAGTTTGAAGAAGAAACAACCTTGAAAGCACATAGGTTTGATGAGCAAAGTTTTGGCCGAACCTATTGAGCTATTTTTAGGCCAGTTCTTGTCCACTTTTAAACTTTAGGAAGGTATAACGTTGCTCTACTCTTCATAAGCTTCAAATCCATATAAAGGTTTGAAAAATTTCCAAAAACTGGTGAGTTTTTCCAGTTTTTGGCGAAACTAGACGGCGACAGACGGCGTCAGGTAACGCTATTAATGTTCGTTACTATTTAACGGAATATTCCGTCAAATATGATGGAATATTCCTCTTTTCCATTAGAGTCAATCCTTGGTTGGATGTGTGTCAATGAGGACGTCGGGCCCCTAAGGGGTGGATTGTAAGATCCAACATCGCCTAGGGGTAAGGATCCTGTAAACCTTATATGTATATTCCCATCTCTACCTAGCACGAGGCCTTTTGGGAACTCACTGGCTTCGGGTTCCGTAGGAACTCTGAAGTTAAGCGAGTTCGCACGAGAGCAATCCTAGGATGGGTGACCCACTGGGAAGTTCTCGTGTGAGTTCCTAGAAACAAAACCGTGATGGCGTGGTTGGGGCCCAAAGTGGACAATATCGTGCTATGGTGAAGTCGAGACCGGGATGTGGTAGGGGTCCGGGCTAGGATGTGACAAAATTAGATTTTACCCCTTTAGGTTTGGAGTCGATTTCAATTTCTTACAATATCTTTAAAAAATTTCAATTTCATACATTTATTTATCATTTTATTTCAATTTCATACATCCGTTAGAAAATCCGTTAAGTAAACCGTTAAATGATGACGTGACAAATATGAGATCCACATTAGTATTGACATGACTGCTAAATTTGTGCCACGTGGCAACAAAAATAATTTTTTATGCATTTAAAATATTTTAATAATTTACCCTATTATCCCACCCCACCCCCGCAACACCCCCCCCCCCCAACCCTTCCCTCCCCTGCAACCCCCCATCCCAAAAAACCTAGATTTTTTGCAGGAAGAACAACACTCCTTAGATTGTCAAATACCAAAATCCCCTTTCGATGTCGTTGTTGGCTGCTTCTTGTGGGTCCGATCGATGCTAATTTGAGGTTAGAATGAGAGAAGGAGGAGATCACCAAACATAGGTGGGTGGGGGCTTGCGGTGAGGTGGGAGTGGGGTGGGGGGTTGTGGGGGATATGGGGGTGGATTTTTGGAAGGGAGGGGAGGTGAAGAGAGTGGAGGAGAGGGAGGGAAGATGGGTTTCTGGGTTTGTTTGTTTGTTTTTTTATTTTTTTTTAATAGGGTAAATTATTATAATATTTTTAATGCATATATATTTTTTTTGCAATGTGTCACAAATTTGGCAGCTATATCAACACAAATATGGATCTCATATTTGTCATGTCATTATTTAATGGATTTTCTAACAGATATATGAAATTGAAATAAAATGATAAGTAAATGCATGAAATTGAAATTTTTTAAAGATATTGTAAGAAATTAAAATCGATCCTAAACCTGAGGGGTAAAATGTAATTTAACCATTTTGAGAATGTAAGAAATTAAAAGAAAAAAAAAGTGAAGAAAAGAAAATTTGATAGTCAAAAAACACTATCCAAATCTTTTATAAAAGTTGTCTCCCTGAACGACACGTGTCATCTTACCCTTCTAACAGTATGGTGACATTCAAGTTGCACTACCCAACTTTTGCTCTCTCCACAAATTTAGCTCTGATTCTCCCTTGCAAAAATGGCTGTAGCTCAAATCTTCGCATCTCTCTCCCTTTCCACTAGAGGTATTCTCTCTCTCTCTCTCTCATTGAATAGAAAATTTATATTCTTGTAAACATATTGAAATTTCCATATGTAATTTGTTTGAAACATTTAGCAGATGCAAGTGGAATTAGCTCACCAGCAGCAGCAGGTCCTGCTCGGCTTCCCCTTTTTAATTCCGCTAGAATTGGGACGGCCTTTGCAACTGGTTCTCCCCTCAGTAAGCCCTTCACTCTTTTATCTCTGATTAGTTACTTAAAAGGGGATAACTATTTTCTTTCTGCTATTTACTACTATAGTTTAACGAAATTCATTTTTAGCTAAGAGTACTTAAATTTGGTTTTCGCTAATGATAAATTTAAATCATATTATTACTATTGATTGTAAAGTTAAGCCACCCTTTCCTTTAGTAATATTGTTTGTTTAAAAAATGGCTTTCTATATTCAGGTTTTTTTTTTTTTTTTTTTTTTTTTTAATATAGCGAATATAGTTATTAAAAAAAGAGTAAATCTCAGTTTACTACTTCAAGTTTCGTGGTTTTCAGCATTTGGCACATAAATTTTTTTTTCGTCGTAGGATCATATCTAAAATGTTAAATTTAGGACAATCTCATATATCAGTTAGTCTGACAATTAATTTTGCCGTTAATTGATAACGTGACAGGACAATGACTGGAGTCACGTATCATTAAAGGTTCACGTGGAAATTAAAATTTCAAAAAAAAACTTTTTTGGTCGTCTTCTACCTCGCTTCCACCCTTATCCCTGCGTTCTCTTCTCTGCACCAACCCACCAAACCCTCCTCTCCTTTCCTCTTCGACTCGTCATATATCCACCCTTCCCCCTCCATCTTCGATTCCACCCATCCACCCACCCAAAGGGTCAAAGCCTCTCCCTTTCCTCCCAACCCCCATTGCTCTCAGTGGGTTTTGGTCATTAAGGGTTTTTATTTTATTTTTTTTAAGTGAACTAAAAGCTAAAAACTAAGAACTGGAATAGTTATCAAAAGGACCCTAATTTTTATCATTGCTGGCAAGAAAATATTTTTATTTTTATTTTTTGTAAAAAGAAATTTTTTTATTTTTTGGAACAAGTGTAAATGGATAATGGGGCTCAATTGGGTTTTATACACATTTTGAGGAACACTTACTGTTGAGGATTTCTCAACCTGGAAAGTATTAGGACAATTGGGTTTTTGCTTTGCTCTATTTAGTTGCATAAGGGTCGACGACTCGACGTTTGATTTTGATTTCAGTTATAAGAAGAGCATACCAACAAAGGAATGCTGCATGTAAATCGATGCCAATTTCCATTAGGTGTGAGCAAAGCACCAAGGAGGGAGGTTTGGATGTATGGCTTGGCCGGCTCGCCATGATTGGCTTTGCTGTGGCTATTGGCGTTGAGGTATCAACCGGAAGGGGACTTCTCGAGGTATGACAAGTGCTATGAATTTTTAGATCCAATCCAAGATTGCCTATTTACTTTCAGTTGCATCGGTGCTTATGGGAATTAGTATTGGTTTCTATCGACTGAACCGCTAGCTTTCACCAATGATAATTTAACTAGTACATCGAAGATATTGAAATGGGTAAACGTTTTCATTCTTGCATTGTCTTGTAAAAATTATCCTTGATGTTGCTTTAGGTGTCGTTTTAATAGTGTAGGAAACTTACTGAACCCGAACCCCCAACTACAAGTAGCGTCTATAGATCATTGTTGGAATAAAATTGCTAATACTCGAGGGAATAGAGTCGAACTCGGTTAAAAAGTTGTCAATTTGAGTGGGGTTTTTCTACATACCCAAGCCTCAGGGTTACGATGACCATTCATTGCAATTGTGCTTGTTGACATTGTGAGCTGTTTGCTTCCTTGTCACTGGCTTCTGCAATCTCCTATCCTGATGATTTATTTATTTCCAACTCTACTGGTTTGGATATGCCATTGCTTACGCAGATGTTTGTTGTCAATGACCGTCCAATGCACTAGAGTTTTGACGCTTCAGTTCCATCTAGGGACTTTGGTGCTGGGAGGCTCTCATGTCGACAATGGGAATTGTTGTCTGTGTATTGGTTGATCACTTGAAATGGTTCCCAAGTATTCCCTGTGTTCCATCCCTTGGAATGTTGTACTTGAAATAAATAACCTCTTATTTAACTGATAATAAGCTAAGAAGCTTTCCGTTTTACCACGTAATTCTCAATGAGTTCGAGCTTTCTTTGACATCGTTCCTTGTGTTCTTTGTATGTTATTTTAAATAAATGGGAAGCAACCACGTAAATAGAATAAAATCGTAGTCTCAAAGAATTTCCTTACATATAGTCATCAAGGATTCCCTTATCTTTCGGAGTTATCATTCTCAGATGTCAACAAGTACAAAATATAGTAAGCCTTTCATTTCGATTGTGCAGAACTTTGGGCTAACAAGCCCCCTACCTACAGCTGCCTTGGGTGTTACAGCATTGGTGGGAATTTTGACAGCAGTTTTCATCTTCCAATCCGGGTCAGAAAAGTGAACACAATATCGGTTGCTAGAAGTGCTTGTATAGTTTGTAATACTGACATGTATTCCAAATTGAACATTTGTTTGTTACTGTAATTTTGTCAGAGTACAACAATTGCGGCAACACTTACAGTTGAGGATACTTTGTTATTTATACGAAGGCATCAATTCGTAGAGGCTTTCATCCATGTGCACTTGCTTTACTTGAATTTACTTGTCTCAGTCGATCACTGCTCTTTTTGCTCACCATCAAATTTATGAAGGGTCAGAATGTTATAAACGCCCGCACTGTTTTGCACAAACATTTGACGGCTGTATAGATTCTATGAACTCCCCAGCCTGTTGACTTGTTCCCTGCCCTCCTTGTGTGGTAGTTTCTCCATCGTGTGTAGTCGGTCCTCCCCTTAAATCTGGAATTTTCACCTTGATGAATTCATCCGTAGAAATCACACATGGTGTAAATGATTTAAAATCCGTATGATCACAGATTCTGAAAGGCTAGATAATACGATTACTGTTTTCTCTAACTTTTGTTATCACAAAGTAGAAACGCATCCTTCTCCAACTTTATTTAACATAAGTTTTCTAACGAGCTCTGGGAATCTGCTGTATGAATCCTCCTCGTCGATTTCTCTGTTTCATCACCTTCAAATAGTTTTCCGATGAGCTCATCTTCATCATTCCAGCCTCGTTGCATCGACCAAAAAGTCCACTTGTCATAGAAGTATATTTACTTGCAAATGCTTGGAGGAATCGAATCCAGGAAACTTCTGAAAGTTTATTGAATAGTGCTGTGAAAGTTTCATTCTAAACTCCTCGTCAGTTTCCTCTGCAGGTCTTTCAACAAAAAAATACCTTGAAGTTCATTCATATACAACATTCTTCAATATTCTCTTGCTGAAGTGTTTGCAGATAGTTGACTGAACATGTAAGTTGCCAGAGGTAAGAGTAGTTCATCAGCAGTGCCAGCAGAGTAATCTAGCGCTTCAGAGAGAGGACTTGGAATACTGACTGGAGATGATTCATTGACGTGCAACACTGCATATCGATAAGGCAAAGTTTCTCTCACCTACACTCGTAAATTGTTATCGCAATCAGGTGCTGTACAAGCAAATCAAAGTCCACAAACATGAAAAGTCAAATGGGAAGGTTCTAGGTGATCAGAAAAATGAAGTTTTGATGAACTGTTACGTCTTGCACGAGTTCTTTTAGATTGTTTAGGCCTATTCAAGGGTTTATGGTTTCTAAGGGCCACTGAATTTTAACTCTATTTACTGGGAAGGCTGCATGCACATCAAGACAAGACCAATTTCCATAAGACGTGAGCAAATGCAGCAAATCACCAATGGAGGGAAACACTGTGGATGTATGGCTTGGTCGGCTGGCCGTGTTTGGATTTGCTGTTGCAGTTATTTTATTGTATACTCTGCCAGCATGTTTACTTAATTGGAATGGAATAGGTATTAAAATTATTCTGATTATTGACCTTCTCCGTGATTATTAACACACGAGTATTTAAATTATCTGTTTTCTGACTTCCGCTGCATTTACTAACACACAAACAATGAAAACATGTGGCTTCCACATTAAAATCCGTAATCTAATACCTGAAAGGCCATGAATTAGATTGATCAGAGGGGAGTAGCTGATTACACTCCAATTCCTTCTGCCAACACTTAAGGCAATACTTGAGGTTGAGGATGCACTATGATTATTATTTACTAATGAACGCTTTAATTCATAATTGGTTTATCTCAACGATGGCATGCTCCTAAAGCAAAATTGTTGCTCTTTTAGCTAGCTTTCTCATCGTGGAAATGCTTCTAAATAGTTTGACTGGATAGCAGCAAAACATTTTGTCATCGATAAGCAGATGTGGGGTAGGCCGGCAGTGTGCCCGCTCTTCAGCGCCCAGGTTTGAATCTATTTATCAGTAATTAAGGTATATTAGAATATCGCGTTGTCAGGATCCTATTAATTGGAAACTGATATGGAAAGGAAAGATTTTCACCTAGAAGGAGCATGCTTTGTGAGAAGGATCTTTAAAATTTGTTAATTAGATGTTGACACAAATGAGTGGACATTAGCTTTTTCTTCAACTCAAGAAATCTCTTTCCCTGTGCTTATACAAAAACTGATTGCATCCCTTGCATTTTTCTTCTCAGATTCGAAATCTTGTTTAAATTCACTGCTAATAACTTTGTTGAACTTCTGTTTTTGGACTGGGCGGAGAGTTTTCGTGAATTGAAAAGAGGTTCTTTCTAAAGAATGGAGTGAGGATTCTAATGGTGGCTCTTGATGCTTTAGGAAAGACAACTATCCTCTACAAGCTAAAGCGCGGAGACATCGATACAACCTTACCCACGATCGATACTTATCCTATAAACCCATCCTAGATGAAGCATTTGGTTTATGATTCTGTTGCAGTTCAATTATCTTTCGATTTTATACACTTGAGCCACTATATTTTTTATCAGAAATTCTTTTTGCAGGACGTTTGTTTTTTATTAGAGAAATGACGAGTATTGGTATTGTTGAAATGTATCAGTTTACATAAGAGTATGACATTGCCTTCACTTTTATGAAGCAGGTTTCAATGTGGAGACAAAAGAGTATAAAAATGTTACCTTTACTATTTGGGATGTTGGACGACAAGGCAAGGTACCAAGCTCTTTTGTTCTTCTATCCGTCCATGCAAGGATGATTACTTTTATACATTTCTGGACATAGTTGGAAATGACTTTGGTTCAATTATGCTGTTAAATATGGATCAATCAAAGAATAAAGAGTTTGGTGTTGTGATCGCTAACTAATCTGTTCATCTTCTCCTTGCTGCTCACCAGATAAGCCCTTTGTGAAGGCATTTTATTTGTTGCGGACAGCATTGACAGGGAAAGAATCTCGGAAGCCCGCAACAAGCTTCATTGTATTTTAAGTGAGGTCCGCGAGGTTTTTATGTGAGGAATAAGATACATGTTACGAAAAAGGACTACAACTGTATCAAAGAAAAAGGAAAGAAGGGATTTGCTGTTTTCTCCTTTTGTAGAGTGAACTAAGCAATGCAACACTTATGGTCTTTACTAATAAGCAAGACCTTCCAGGTGCTGTGAGTTCTTCTGAGGTTGCTGATAAACTTGACCTGCACTTACTTCGGGAATCGTTTCTGCTATGCGTACAACTTCCCTACTCTATATAAGTAGCTAGAAGAAAATGGGTTGCTTAATTTTTAAGACCTGCTACTGAAACTAAAAACAAAGGGCAACGTAACACGACTCAAAAAGTGTTACCATCTGATCGCGTATCGATTCTGAGTTTCGATGGAATTTTAATGAGTTTTATTTCATAAGTACATACAAACCAGTAGTCACATTTGGCCAAGGACTATATGAAGGTCTTGATCGGCTATCTGATAATATTGTCAATATAACAAGGCATGATGCAAGGGGCTTCTACAACATTCAGACCAGTCACGTTCGGGCTCGATACATATTAGTGGAATCAAATTGGTTAGCAATGCCATGTGGACACATCATTTCTTTCCAAAAACCTGGATATTAATAACGGATGTACAAGTGTTGAGTGTTGATTGGTTAGAATATAATGTAGAGGAGTGCCACATAGGCAAATCAGTTAGATTGGTTGGTTAGGATATAAGGTAGAGAAGTGCCACATAGGCGAATCAGTTAGAGGAGTGCTATAAAAGCCACTGTATAAACGTTTTCTGCCCTAATGTTCAATAGAGGAATCTTTTCTTTTCCGCTGCTATCTTCTTTCTCTCTAACAATCTTTCTTCCTTTCTCAAGCTTCTTGGATTTGTTGAATTTCTGGTTTGATTTTCTGGTGTTATCATGGTATCAAGAGCCAGTGATCGTGCGTGGGTATGTGCTCGTCGGAGTCATTAATGGAAGCGTGATGATCTGCGAATCTGTCTGCTTGGAGGATTTTTCTTGGCGATTTGGGGTTGCAATCAGGGCGAAGCTGGAATTTCAGGTGCTTTGTTGGTTTTCGTTCTCCTGAAATGGTTGATTGTGGTGTTTTTTTTTTCGTTTCGTAGTTTGTGTTGTTTGATTTGAGAAGATGAAGTTGTAGAGGCCAAAGCCATTGTTATATTCGTTGTTAAGCACTGGGTAGATGAAAAGGCCAATGCCATTACTTTGTGTTAAGAAGGAATCTAAAGGCCAATGCCATTGATTCAAGAAAGTTGAGTTTGTTACAGTCTAGGTCAAGAAAATTGTTGTTTTTCTGAGATTTATTCAAGAATTGTTAAATTGTTGAGTCTTGAACTATATTTGGTATGGCTTCCTCTGTGAAAATTGAGGGATTGTTGGGCATGCTCACTATTCGTCTTGGTGAGCATAATTACACCAAATGGTCGTTTCAATTCAGGTCTGTGTTAAAGGGTTACAAATTGTTTGGTCATTTTGATGGTTCAATTTCTTGTCCGTCGAAGTTTGTGGTTAATGCAGAAAGTGGGGTTACCAAAGAATTGACAGATGCGTTTCAAGATTGGGAGACCACGGATTTGTCTCTGTTGAGTCTGTTGATAGCGACGTTGACTGATGATGCGATAGAGTATGTTATCGGGTGTAAGACTGCTGCTGAAGCTTGGACAAATCTTGAGGAAAGGTTTGCTTCTGTGTCTAGGACAGGCATTAATCACTTGAAAACAGAGTTACATACAGTTCAAAAAGGTGGGGATTCAATGGATAAATATCTGTTACGAATCAAGACAATCAGGGATCAATTGATGGCTGCAGGGGAATATGTATCAGATAATGATGTGATGATTGCTGCTCTTGCTGGGCTACCTCGGGAGTTTGCAACTATTAGGTCGATTATACTTGCGAGGGATTCTAATGTCACTATGAAGGAGTTTAGGGCACTGTTAATTGGTGCTGAAAGGGAAAATGATGTGGTTATGAATTCATTAACTCATAATATGGCTGGTTTGTATACTAATGGTGCATCCAGTTCCAATTCGTCTGCAACTGAACCGTCTACTACTGGAGGTGTTCTTACTGCTACTCCACTGCCACAACCAATGTCATTCTTTCCACAGTCTCAAATGATGCAACCTGCGTTTGGTTCTCATCCAAGTTCTTTTGGATCAGGTGGAGGGTGTGTTGGTTCCTTGGAGCAGCATCCCCAAGATCAGTCAAGGCAACACCAAACCTCAGTGCAGTTTCCT